CACCAGTGCACCACAACACGCGCACACATCCCCACCAGTTGCCATGTTGCACCTCTGCAGGCCTCACTGCTATATCAACAGCACCACCGCAGCACAACACATGCGCATTCCTACTGCTATGCACCCAATGCACCACGCAACACTCTCGCCGCAGCATGCTCTGCACCACCGCTTGCACTCGGCCGTCTGTGAGAACACGGACGACCTGGTGCAGGCAGTGGTGCAGCACATGCTGCAAGAACGTGTTGGGGCGCACAAGTGCACAGCCAGGGCTAATGATGTGCTGATGTATGCCTGAACGTGCGTATACGATGCATGTAGTCACCCACGCGACACTCACCCGCATCACGCTCTGCACCACCTCCTGCACTAGGTCATCGGTGTTCTCCTCGTCGCGCGGCAGCAGCAGCAGCAGCTCGCCCGCGGGCGTGGGCAGGAACACCAGCAGCCGCTGGCCCAGAGACACCACAATGAAGCGCGCACGGTCCTTCAGCTGCTCCCTGCAGGTCGTCAAGTTTGCGACAACATTGTGTTAGCAGCCACAGCACACGTGCAGCACAGCAGGGTGAGCCATCACCGCGCGGTCCGTCAGCTGCTCCCTGCACGCAAGCCGCGGCACCAGCACAGCACAGCGCAGCGCAGCAGGGTGCGTTGTTGATGTACATGCAGGAAGACGACAGGCAGGATGAAGCGCGCGCGGTCCTTCAGCTGCTCCCTGCAGGACGGACTTGCAGCCGCACAACACACGTGCAGCACAGCACAGCGCAGCAGGGTTTGTCGTTCGTGAACAGGCAGTGCGACGGCAGGCAAGATGAAGCGTGTGCGGTCCCTCAGCTGCTCCCTGCAGGCGTTGAGGCAGCAGCACAGCGCACGTGGAGCACAGCAGGGTCAGCCGCGTCCGCACCGGCGCTCTGGAGGCACAACATGCGCACAGGCAGCTGGCAGACCAGCCGCCCGCTAACACTGGCAGCAGCAAGCTCGCAGCTCACGCTCTTGCATGCAGTACAGACGCAGCACCGCACACCGACCCAGGCAGCCATGCAGGCAAACATACAATGTGCAGGCAAGCAGGCAGCATGCATTCCGGACGCAGGCAGCCAGACCGCGCGGCCACTCACTGCACGCTGATGCGCGCGTTCTGCACGGGCACAAACTTGAGCGGCTTGTAGGACAGCTCCGCGCAGTCCGCATAGCGGGAGATGCTGGGGTGCAGCTCCAGGTCAAACACGCCGCCCACCAGCTGCTTGCGGTCCTCGCCAGGGTTGGGGGTCTGCAGCTCTGCAGATACGAATGCCCGCAGGCAAAGGGGCAGCAGGAGGTGCGGCAGCGGCAGCGGTAGCAAGGAGGGATGTCAAAGGGGTTGCCAGTATAGTCATATGTAACCCACATGCAGCCACTCTCTGTCAAAGGCAAAGGCATTGGAAAGGCGGCAACAGCAGCAATAGATACAGATGCAGCATACATGGTTAACGGTTAAGCGCACCATGTTGTGCGCCAAGAGCTGCAGGTGTCCCTGCAAGCCCCTGACAGCAGTGTGTATCTATGTGCACCGCAGCCAACAAGCTCAGGGCTCGGCACAATGCAGCGCCGCAATGCAGCAGCCCAGCGCATCGCAGCTGCGCCGGCGCCTGGGATCATCTCGTCCCTGAAGATTTGGCGCAACTGTGCAGCAAGCATCATGCCCAGCGCAGCAACAACCAAACTTGCAGCACACGCCGCAGCGCAGGCGAGGCCCCGCCCACCTGGGGTCATCTCATTCCTGAAGATGTGTTCGCAACTGTACAGCAAGCATTAAGCCCAGCCCAGCCACCCACCTGGGATCATTTCGAGCCCAGCCCAACCACCAAGCTTGCAGCCACACGCCGCAGCACAGGCGAGGCCCCACCCACCACCCACCTGGGATCATTTCGTCCCTGAAGATGTGGCGCTGCTGCTCGCTGGCCAGTGCCTCCATGGGGTGGCACAGCTTGAGGTGGCCCTTCAGGTCCAGCATGATGTGCAGCTGCGGCAGCAGCAGCAGCAGCAGCAGCAGCAGCAGCGCGATAGATGCATACATATGTGTAGATACAGGACACAATGTTCCGTGCGCAGGTATGCGTAATGGCGTGATGTGCATTTGCAGTCGCATGCCAAGCGCAGGCGTGCCAAGCTACACCAACTGCCAGCTGCAAGCTGGTGCGTGCGGATGCCAGAAGCACAGGGCAAGCTGTACTGCTACTGCTACTGCTACTGCTGCAGCTGGATGGATGGATGACACAATGCCGCACCTCTGCTTCATCATCTGTTGCCCGCACGCCTGCCTGCACTATCTGGCAGCTGATCTGCACCAGCTGCCCTATGGTCACTGTATACTCGGCGTCGGTATCTGCAGACAGCGTCTGCTGCTGCTGCCGCGCACGCCGCCCTGCTGCTAACGCTGCTGCTGTTGCCTCCTTCTGCTGCCGGTAGCGCTCCCGCTGCTGCTGCTCCTGCTGCGCGCGCTCCGCTGCAGCCTTGTTGCTGCACTGCGCGGCCTTCACCTTTCCTGGCTTGCCTTGGTTCACGCCCTTGACAAATGCAGTGGCTGCTGTGCGGGGCTGCTCCTTGTGCTGCTGCTGCTGCTGCTGCTGCTGCTGCTGCCGTAGCGGTCCCCGCAGCTTTGGAGGCTCTATAGCTCCTGGGCCCCTGCCTTTGAATGGCTGCCCCCTTCCTGCAAGCGCCTTGCCACCGCCCCTGCCAGCCGCTGCAACTCGCTGTTCTGCTCTGGCTGGCGCAGCCGCTGCTGCTGCTCTCCCTGCTGCTGCTGCTGCTGCTGCTGCTGCTGGGTTTGCCGGCTCAGATGTGCCTTCCGCTGCTGCAGCGGCTGCCCTGTCAATCTTCATCTGCGCTGTCGGCTGCATGGTGACTGCTGCTGCGTGGCGCGCCCGCACTGGCGCGTGGATTGGCGGCAGCGCTGGCATCTCTGCATGCATAACGCAACAGACAAAGGAGCACAACTGGCGGCACAGCTCATGCCTGGGAGGTCGCTCTGCAGATGCATGGCTGTTCTACTGTACTAGAGTGATCTACTGCCAACAACTCTTTGGCGTGCAAAGGAGCTGAACACCTGCAAGTCAAGCGTCAAACGGTGCTACCCCGCAGCAACAAGCATTCCAAGTGTGTGCATGAGTGCATTGCTGGTGGCAAGTTCCTGCAAGCAACGCAGCGCTGTGCTTGCCGCACTGCTGGAGCAGCAGCACACACCTTCCAGTGGCTTGCCCTTGCGGTGGGCCACGCCGCCGCCCTGCAGCGCCCGCTGCTCCTCCATGTCGCGCTGCGCCTTGCTCCAAACTGCAGGGACAGCAGGTGCCGCGTATATGTGCAATAGGATTGCTGGTCAGCGATGTTGCTGTGGGCCAATCGCGTCGTAGCTATGGCTTACACGGTGACATGATGATGGTCGCTGGTCAGCGGTATCGGCAGGCAAGCATGCATGGTGCTGTGCTGCTGCTGTGCATGCAGGCAGGCAGCCGGTATGCAGCTGTGCAGGGTCTTGTGTGCTGCCCTTGAATTTGTGTGTGCACGCAACATAACAAGAACCATACTGAGCTATATTGTCAGCGTGTGACGCCAGGTTGTGCTCACGCTTGTTGAACTCGCTGCATGCTGTGCAGAAGTAGTCCAGCTTCAGCCCTGCAGTCTGCCAACGGTCTCCAGCCATGCAGAACGTGTGGCATCCAATCCGGTGGCTGCAGTCACAGACACAAATAATAGCAGGAACTCGTCAGCTGCTGAACTTGGCTGCCAAGGCGCTTCAGACAGCAAATCAACGCGATGCAGTTACAGCAGCAATAGACCAGGTGGCTGGTGTCCTGGTTGTGCAAAGCAGAAGCAGCCTTCTGCCTGCTGAGCTCAAAGGTGATACTCACTCAGGGCCGTAATTCTTGCAGAGCACCAGCACCTTCCTAGCAAGGCCGGTGGCACACACTTCGCAGACGACACCAAGGTCCTCATCATGCTGCTCTTCCTCCTCGTCCTCCTCCTCCGCTTCAACCTCCACCATATCGCTGTCGCTGCTGTAGTCAGACATCTGCTTCTAATGGAAGCGAGTCTGTGCGTGCTGTTGACGGGTTGCGGCCTGACGAGCCATGTAGCACTGTGTACACAGCACGTTTAGCACCGTTGATGTTGACCGATGCATGCCCCTCAACGCACGCCCTGACTCGTTGATTTAGCTTTTCTGCACCCCCGCAACGAGCAGATCCGTCACGTCCGCGATGTAGTGATTTGCTGCAGCTGCAGCTGCTGTCCAGCACAACTTAAATGCACAACAGGTATGCGTGTACCTTCCGCTGCATTTGCTTATGTAAGAGCAATAACAAGCAGCATCTCCTGCTGGGCAGTGTCCTGCATTGCACTGAAGCTTAGCTACATACTCAAAGAGCAGCTGCCAGTTGTCATGAGTCATGCATGAACCGTGTCATATGACACAGCATGACACGGTTCAAAGTTTACTTTGACGATGTCAGACGCCTGATGCGATTGCATCCCTGAGACGCAGCCATTGTGGTGCAAGTTCAACCTGTCAACAAGTTCACCACCTCAGCTAAGCCAAAGTAGACAGTAGCACCACTCACGCCGTGCACAAATCCGGGCTTGCATGCGTAGGGGGGCTGACGGCCCACATCCCGTCAACCTCATTTTAAAACCAACCAAAGCAACAATACAATACAGTGCACTTTCGGGACTGAACCCGCCCCCAGGCACTAGCCCAGCGAGCCGCTAATCCGCTCATGGGGGGTAGTAAAAAGCGCTGCGCTCTTTTATTTTTGCCTTAAAATTTTTATAGTAAAAACGAACGTGGCGGAATTGGTAGACGCGATGGCTTCAGGTGCTATTTGGGTTCTCTCGGTGCAAGTTCGTACCCAGTCTTTCCTTCGTTGTTTGGGCGATCGAAACCACCCGCGCAAGTCCGTCAATTCCAGTTGCTTTTTATCCCCAGCCGCGGGCCATAGTCGCAAGCTTTTTGGCCCAGCCACGGGCGGTTGGACCAGGATTCGAACCTGGCCAGGACCCATGGGTCTCCAGCATACCATGCATGGCATATGCCGGTGTTCTACCACTAAACTACCCAACCAAAGCTAAGCTGGCTGCCAGCGCTCATCGCTTGCCAGGCTTGCAAGCACATAGCAACAGGTCAATACATTGACTGTCAATAAAATACTGCCATGTAATACTGCACACTGCGACGCATACATTCACAGGCGGTATTGTCGGCCGCCGATGAGCTGCGGCAGTTCCAGCGTTGTGCACAGCTGTTCTGCGCATGCACTCAGCAACGCTGCACCACTCCGCCAGCGAAGCATTTGAGCCGTTCTACAGTCATGCCGCAGCTCTGCTCAATCCTCCTCCTCTGCGCCGCCAGCTCCCTTCTCCCCTTTCACCTTGGAGGACTTCTTGGGCAGCAGGTGCGTGTGAATATTTGGCATCACACCGCCGCTGGCAATCGTCACCTGCCCCAGCAGCTTGCTCAGCTCCTCATCGTTGCGGATGGCGAGCTGGATGTGGCGAGGGATGATGCGGTTCTTCTTGTTGTCGCGCGCAGCGTTTCCTGCAAGCTCCAGCACCTCAGCACTCAGGTACTCCAGCACAGCAGCGAGGTACACGGGGGCACCTGCGCCAATGCGCTCCGCGTACCTGCAAAGCACAGCAGCGTACAGCAGCAGCCTCAGGCTCAAGACTTAAGGCTTGAGTGCCATGGACAGCCACTGAGCAATGCACATGAGGCGTCCTGCCAGCTGTGCGGCATCATGCTGGGTTCATGGCTGTGCAGCTCATGGCACATAATGTACATTACACTTGTCTCAGCATGATGCAGCGCCAACGTCACACAGGGTCTGCTGCACCAGGTGAGCTGGGCCTTCACAGCTGCAACATAGGCAGTGGTTAAACCTCAGGCAGTGCCTGGCACACTCTGAGGATGCAGTGCTGCCTGCTCACCTGCCTTTCTTCAGGTAGCGTGCCAGCCTGCCAACAGGGAACTGCAGGCCAGCTTTGCTGGAGCGGGACACTGACTTGCCCTTGGGCCCACCAGACTGCAGTGTCAAAAGGGCAGCAGTGCAGAAGTGTTTGCCGCGTAGCACCACTCTCCAGCACCATCATGTTCGACCTAAGGAAACGTTGTTCAAGTTCAGCCTGCCAGGAATGTCATAATTGCAGCTAAGCCATGCATGCAAGCCATCTGGCTGTGCAATATCAGCCAAGCAGGGCTATGTCCACAAGCTTTGAAGCTGACAGCAGCATAGTACTGCAGCCATTGCACCTTGCTGCATAAGGAGACTGTGTGCGCACCTTGCCCTTTCCTCTGCCGGACATGTTTACTAGAACAAGGAAGCTGCTGTTTGACGCTGTGGCTGGCACAGGTTGCGGGGCAATGTAGGCAACGTGCAAACCAGGCTGAAGCCCGTCAATATAGAAATCTTCTGCGAATGGTGCGCTGCGCCCACCAATACGACTGCTTTTGGCAGTTTCAGTGTGTTTGGTTTGGGAAGGGCCGTCTTGTGGGAGCCCAATCTGATGGTCGAGGCGAGGTTAACCAGCTCGTCCAATGAAACAGGAAATATTCCCGGAGCCATCTGGCTAAGCAGCGTGTGTGATGTCGACTGCACAATAATGTAAATGAAGAGAGTTCCACTCCATTCCAGCAGCACACGCACTGTACGTGATCCATATAGCCCACACCACCGACAAACCACAATGGTACTGGCCTGATTTGCAGTGGCAGTCATGGCTGATCACACATCACAACCACACATCACAACCATGCGTATCAAGGGAGCAGTGGCCTTGCATCAGTGCACATGGTCAACAACGCCCAATGTACGCAATGCATGCTGGTAGCACAGCTACACCACCAACACCAGCAGACACGCAGGTCCCAGTGTACACAATGACGATTCGCTGTGCTGGACATGACTCAATTTGGAATTGCCGATGCACTCTTTCTGAACAGATAGACTGCCTTCTGGATAATCCAGCGTATGCCCAAACAGCCACGGCATGCTATGCTTGCTTGATGGGTCTAAGTCATAGATGCTGCGCCAATGCATATGCTGCTGATGTCACCGCACTGACACCTGCGTGTCCCCGACTAAATGTCAGATCTGGTCCACCAGGCGCTCCATCATCCTCAAGCTAGTGTTGTAGTAGCCGCCTGCAGCAGCAGCAGCAGCAGCAATAGCAGATCTTAGGCCTGGGACGTGCTGGTATATCATAAATATCTTACCCAGTGGGCGCTGATCAGCATGCCAAGCTGAAACCGGCACAACACAGCAATGTCGTCACCGCCGCACAAGTCGGGTGTAGGTGAGGCAGCGATTGAGCAGGTACACAGCATGCTGCGCATCCCCAAACCCTTACATCCAAAGAGATTGGTGTGGTTGAGGTAGTAATGCAGCAGGTACAGCTCGCCGCGCTTGTCAAACATTTGTGCACACACAACTTGTACAGTCAAACATAAGCATTGTAACCCAAGTCCTTACCGCCGAAGAGGTTGGTGTGGTTGAGGTAGTGGTACAGCAGGTACAGCTCCTTGCGCTTGTCAAACAGCGGAGCCTTGGGGATGAGCTCGTGGTAGGCGCGCCAGAAGTCGCCAGTGAAGCCTGGACACGAGATACAGCATTCGTTAGAAATGTTTACTACTGTAATTACATTGGTAATAATACTTGATAGCGGTGCACTGCCGGCAGTAGAGCGGTGCTGAAACGCATTCACAATCGGGAAGTGTGGTGACACTGAAGCACGTCATGCTGTGTTACAGCGCGGCATTCAGGTCACAGTGCTGCCAGAGGTAGCCCTGGACAACAGCCGTTCATTGAATGTTGACATCAACCACAATTTACACGACCTGCACCCCTCTGCTCAATGAACCCCACTCCCGCCCACCTGCACACCACGACATGCCAAACTCTGCTTCGTGGTGCCCGTAGTATGTGGCCGGGTCAAAGATTGATGGCTGGCCCTCCACACCAGCGATGTTGCCGCTCCACAGGTCTCCATGCAGCACGCTGGGCTTGATGCTGCCCCGCACATCCTCAAAAAAGACGTCTAGGTTGTCCATCAGCTTATCTCCTAACTGGCTGAGCCGCTTGTCACCTGCACACAGCACACATACAATGGTGTGCTGTCTGAAAGATGCGGCACTTGCATCACTGAAGTATGACACAGTGACCGCAACACATTCACACTATCCTGCAACAATGTTACCCCCTGCCATGTGTAGTTCAAGTTTCAGGATGCCTGCATTGATAGACCATGCACGTGCACCAGGGACTAGTTGCTTATGGCAACTGGTGTTCCCCATCGCTCGGTTCCACGCAAGGGGGTGTTCCCCAGCAACATCAATGCCTGCGCTGATTGCATGCTTGTGACAACACACTCTGTCTACAGTGGAGTCTTACCCAGCAGCTGCAGCTGGTGGCGTAGCCGCCGCTCCCTGTAAAAGTCCACCCAATCGTCCATCCAGCCATTAGGCTGCGGTGTGGCGCCGATCGTGTTATCCACTGCAAAGCCAAACTTGCCGGCCTTGGCGTTAGGGTCCTGCAGCACACAGGCCAGGCCAGCAGCAGCAACAGGCACAACTACTGCCGTCAATGCAAGAGTCCTGTCGAATGTTAAGCCGAATTTTGCCGAAGTTTAAGCCAAACTTGCCTGCTTTGGCAATGGGTTCCTGTAGCAGACAGGCCAGGCCAGCAGCAGCAGCAGGCATCAGAGTGACGACGATCAGCACAAAGCAGCTCCACAGAACAGCTTTCCATCCAACTTGCAGCTCTGCCTGCTCAAAGGATTTCAACTCACCGCGGGCTCTGCTGGGCGCATGCGTGCCAGCTGTCAGCCCAGCTCTGACATGCTTCAGAAAACCCGGCAGCACAGTTGTATGCCGCATGATGCACAATTTCCGCGTGTTCAAATATTGAAGACTCACCGCAGGCTCTGCCAGGTGCATGCGCGCCAGCTGTCGGCCTAGCTCTGACATACTGCAGCTGCCGCTCATTTTCAGCGCCTCCATCACGATGAAGCTGCCCCTGCCGTTGGGCATGGGGCCCACATGGAACACCTTGGGGATGCGCAGCGTGTTTGTGGCTGTGAACGTTTTGCAGCAGATAGAAAAGGAAATACACACAGTGTACACAGATTCACATGCAGGAGGAGGGCTGACTACGCATGGGAATCAAAAGGGCTGTCTCGCTGACAACAAGTTACAACATGCATTTGGTGTTGGGCGCACATGAAACGCCTTGGGAAGGCACAGTGTGTTTCTGGATGTGATAATGATCAGCAGCAACAGCAGCAAACAAACGGCGGCAGTAAGCATTTGAAGAGGAGGGTGTTGTGCGCACCGAAGTTCACATGAGATGTTTCACTGACTGCCTGCTACAATAAGCCTTGCATATGCGCTGCAAGGATGCTGTTGAAGGTAGCTGCTTCAGACCAACGAGTTGTTATTTTGTTTATAACCAATAACAATGTAACGCTTACCGTACATTGCCTGCAGGCCCTGTGCCTCTCCTTGGAACATGGAGTCATCCCGCCCACCCATTGCTAGCTTCACAAAGAAATTCTGGCCTTGCTGCGTGGTATACACATACTGCAGCAGCAGTAACATCATGACGGCACAGCAGCGCAGCAGTAGCAGTGTTGCCGCGGCAGCATGATAAACACATAATGCCAGGGAAGCAGCAGTGAAATAAGTGCTTGCTGTATATCAGGCATGCGGCTTGCTGCTGCGAGGCTGCTGCTGGCACCATCCGCTGCTGTTTTTGATCCAATTCACATCACCAACATCATCAGCTGTGGCCACACTGGCACAGCAGCAGCAGCAGCAGTAGCAGCAGCAGCAGCAGCAGCACTCACAGCACTGGACCAGTTGCTGCTGCTCATGAACTTCTCCTTCACCACTGGCCCCTGGCCCAGGTTGGCCTCTATCCAGTCAGCTGCTGAGTTCTGGACCCTGCAAGACAGTGCAATGTTACATAGGCTTGAACAGGCAGCTTGACTCACGAAGGTGGGGCACATGCAATGCACACAGCGGCAACTGATTGTGTTGATGATGATGTGTGCTTGTACATGATTGCAGTA